GCGTGGCACGGCTGCACGCCCCGGCGCCGCGCGTGGGGCTCGGCCCTGGCCGGGTGCTCCGGCGGGGAGGAGGAGCCGGGGCAGGAAGGGGGAAGCGGACTCAGCCCTTCTGCATTACGCAGGACTGGTTTCAAGGTGAAGTCGCCGTGACAACCTGGCGGCTGCATTTGCGCGCCTGGGCTGCGGTTCCGGGTTGCCGCAGACCCCGGGCACGGCCGGGCTGGCGGAGAGCGAGCGGCCGGCACTCAGGCCCGGCCTGAGCTCTGGGGGGCATTGAGGTAAGGGCTGCCCCTCGCCTGGGGGGCAGGGACGTGGGCACTGCCAGCCCAGCGCCCCGGCTCGGCAGCCTGGGTGCAACCCTGCAAGGGGCCGAGACCCAGGCCCCACCCAGGACAGGGGCTAGGCTTTTGCGTGACGCCTTCTCGCCTCTGATGCCCCGGGGGTGCCCGCACGGCCCACGGAGGTGCAGGTGCAACAAACGCTCGGGCTTTCTTGGCCCTTTCGCCCCGGTGCTTGCCGAGCAGCGCCCGCTGCCTGGGGTGGGGGCTGGGCTCACCCCGTGCCCTCTCCCCGCAGGAGCCGGACGAGCATGGCGCTGCTCACGCACCTCTTGGCCTGCGTCTTCGGCAGCGGCTCCTGGGCCGCGGTCAACGGGCTGTGGGTGGAGCTGCCGCTGCTGGTGCCCGAGCTGCCCGAGCACTGGTACCTGCCCTCCTACGTCACCGTGGTCATCCAGCTGGCCAACGTGGGGCCCCTGGCCGTCACGCTGCTGCACCGGCTCCGGCCCAGCGCGCTGAGCGAGGTGCCCACGATCTACGCCGTGGTGGCCACGGGCGCGCTGGCCTGCCTGCTGCTGGCTTTCCTGTGGGGCTGCACCACGCACGTGGCCGGAGCGCCCCACAGCACGGCCTTCCTCGTCCTCACCTTCTTCCTGGCGCTGGTGGACTGCACCTCCTCCGTCACCTTCCTGCCCTTCCTGGGCCGGCTGCAGCCCCGCTACGTGACCTCCTTCTTCGTGGGCGAGGGGCTCAGCGGGCTCCTCCCCGCCCTCCTCGCCTTGGCCCAGGGCGCCGGCGTCACCCACTGTGCCAACGCCACCCGGGAGGCCAACGGGACCCAGGGCCTCCTGGAGACCCGCTATTCCCCCGCCCGCTTCTCCCCGCTGGTCTTCTTCCTCCTGATGACCGCCATGATGCTGGCCTGCCTGGCGTCCTTCTTCTTCCTCACGCGGCTGCCGGCCGAGCGGGAGCTGTCCCGGCAGAGCCCGTTCCCCAGCGACGTCACCCTCTGCTCCTTCCGCGGCTCCCCGGAGGCCGGGCCCGGGCCCGGGCCCGGCGGGGGCGACAAGCCAGGCAGCGCCGGCAAAGCGCCCGG